CAGATACTCTTCTTAATATTCAAATTGCTTCCCAAGCACTTCAAATATGATATCATCAATCTTGGCATCTTCCTTGCTTTTTGTTATGAGATGGTGTTTTCTAGGCTCATCTTGTACTTTCCTGTCCTAGACCTTGTGATCATTTTTCCATGTTCTAATTTCAGTTTGGAAACCTCATTGCAACTGAATTGGTCATTATTTCTGGGTCCTTCCTGTGGACAGAGCTAGGAAATACATGTTTTTAAATGATAAAACATATCATGAGCTCATATAACAATATTTCTAATTTAAATTTAGAAGTAGAAGTTTTAATTAACCTCTTTGAGTTCTTTTTGCTTATGTTGAAAATCTTGGTTCTTAAAGATATGTTGTTGTTGCTAAGTGCCGTCAAATTAGTTCTATCTCAAAGCGACCCTGTACAGAGTTTTTGAGGAGTGACTGGTGAGCTTTATCTGTCAACCTTGCGGTTCAAACCAACTTTGTAGTCCAGCGCAATAACCTACAGCATCCCACCAGATTACCTTATATTTCCATTTTTCATGAACTCTTTGAAGTACCGTTGTATTTTTAATAGTTACTTATTGCTTTGTCCAAAATTGTAAATTTCAGAAAACACAGCAATACTAGCACTAACAATATGACTATTAAAAAGCATTTATCATATTTTTCAGTTACTTTTATCCTTAAGATTTATCCAAATAGGGTTTATTGTGTTTAATTGCTGTGTTAAATGTCATTTGGAATAGTTCATCTGTGAATTATTATGCCATTAACCTTCCTACACTTTAGATAATTTGTTTAATTTTCCTTTCTCTTTTAAGTTATTATTTAATTTTAAGAATAATTACATAAACATTTATATAGTTCCAAAATCAAGCTTATTTGTCTATGAAACAATGTTCAGTTAAAGTTACTCTTCACCCTTATCTTCTTTATTCTCTTATAATTTAATTATTTTCTAATTTACCTCTCAATTTTTTAAAACAGGTGTGTATGTGTATAAATGCATATATGCATACACACACACATACACATTCTATCTGTTTAGATATAAGGTAGAATACTATACACATAAGGAGCTCTGGTAGCGTAGTGGTTACGAATCAGGCTGCTATCCTAAAGGTCAGCAGTTCGAAAGTACCAGCTGTTCCATGAGAGAAAGATGAGGCTTTCTGCTTCCGTGAAGATTTGCAGACTTGGAAACCCTGTACAGGGTCACTATGAGTCAGAACCGACACCATGGTATTTAACCACAACAGCAACTATACACATGGTTATCTACTTCTTGTTTGTTTACATAACAATATATTAGTTAATGCTCTATGTACCAATATTCTGTCTGGAATTACACTGAATCTGTAGGTAATTTAGAAGAGAATTGACAATTTTACAAAATACTGAGCTTTCTCACCTATTCATATGGTACATACTTCTATCTGTTCAAATTTTCTTGAATCTGTAAATTAGTAAATAAAATTATGTAGTAGTCCTAAAGGTATTTTATCAAACTTATTCCTAAGTATTAGTTTTTAAAAATTATTTTAACTTTTTTGGTTATTGTTGACTGTATACACATCAGAACATCTGCCAATTCACCATTTTCTACATGTACAATTCAGTGACACTGAGTACATTATTCAAGTTGGGCAACCACTCTTCCTACTCTTTTCTGAATTGTTTTTACCCCAATCATAGAACTCATGATCTTGTTTCCTATCTAATACTTCAAATTGCTGCTGTCAGTTTGATCCCATGTTGTTGTTAGGTGCCATCGAGTTGGTACCGACTCATATAAACACTATGCACAACAGAATGAAACACTGCCTGGTCCTGGGCTAGCCTCACAATTGTTGCTACACTTGAGGCCATTGATGCTGCCATCACGCTGGGGGTATTCCTCTTTTTCTCTGACCTTCCATGTTACCAAACATGATATCCTTCTCCAGTGATTGGTCCCTCCTGACAATATGTCTGAAGTACGAGAGAAAAAGTTTGGCCATCTTGGCCTCCAAGGAGCATTCTAGCTGCACTTCTCCCAACACAGATTTGTTGGTTCTTTTGGCAGCTCATGGCACCTTCAGTATTCTCCTCCAACACGATAACTGAAATGCATCAATTCTTCTACGGTCTTCCTTATTCACTGTCTAGCTTTCTCATGTATATGAGGTTATTGACAATACCATGACTTAGGTCAGGTGCACCTTAGTCCTCAAGCTGACATCTTTGCTCTTCAACAAGGTTGTGTGCAGCAGATTTGCCTAATGTAATACGTTGTTTGATTTCTTGACTGCTGCTTCCATGAGTGTTAATAGTTGATCCAAGAAGAATGAAGTCCTTGACAACTTCAATCTTTTCTCTGTTGATAAGAATGTTGTTTACTGTTCCAGTGGTGAGGATTTTTGTTTTCTTTACATTGAGATGTAATAATCCATACCGAAGGCTGTGGTTTTTGATCTTCGGCAATAAGTATTTTAATTCCTCTTCACTTGATCCCATAGATGTCTCCTAAATGAGTACAAGGCTAAGGCAGACATTCTTTACTAATTAATTAAGCTAAACAGCTGAAGTTTTTTGATGCTAAATTTTATTATTTTTAATAAGCTATTTTTTCAAATGTTTGTCATTAGTCTGTAGAAATATAATTGATTTTGAATTTTAACTGATTATATCTGGGTCTTCTGTTAATTAATTAATTCTAATAATTTATCTATTAATTATTTTGGATTTCCTACATATACAACAATGCTGTGTGAGAACAGATGTTTTTGTTTTTCCTTTCTAGTTTGCTCTTTATTTAATTTTCTTGCCATAATGAACTCATTAGGCCTGTTAGTATAAAAATAAATGAAAAATTTAATAGTGGTCTTCATTATCTTTCTATGTTCAAAGGAAAGTCTATAAAATTTTGCCATTAAAAATAATGCTTACTATAGAAAAGTTATCTTTAAAAATATTAAGTAAACTCTACTCTTAGTGTGTTAAATGCTTTTTGGAAAATTATGAATGGATATTTGATAAATATTATCAAATGCTTTTTCAGCATCTACAGAGAAGGCCTTATGATTTTTATTTTTCAATTTAATATATACCAACATTGCATTCTAGCCTATAGCTATACTAGAGGTGATTTTTTGTTGTTAATTCTTTAATTCCCTTGTTGTCTGTATACAAATATAAAGGGTATATGTATATATCTGTATATATACAGATATATGTCTACGTCTATGTATATATGTATATATATATGGTTACAAATCGGGCTGGTAATCTCACGGCCAGCAGTTCAAAACTACCAGCTGTTCTGTGGGAGAAAGATGAGGCTTCCTGCTCCCATGAAGATTTACAGCCTTGGAAACCCTGTAAAGGGTCTCTGTGAGTCGGAACCAACTCCACGGCACATAAAAATAACAGCAACAAATAAAGGGTTAGTCCAAATTTCTCAGCTGAACCATGAACTAGAAACAGAAGTTCTCTTGAATTCATTCTAAACATATTTTCACTAATGCATTCCACCAAAACTATTCTCATTATTGTTAAAAAAAGATCATTACTTGCATGTCAAATTGAAAGGTCCCTTCTTAGTCCTTAACTTATTCAATCAATCAGTAACATTTTATAAATTATAGTGAGTAAGAGATTATTTCCCAAAATTGACTGAGTGTGGCACTGCAAGTTAATGTGCTGGACTGCAAGGTTGGTTTGAACCGGAAGGTCGGTGGCTCAAGTTTACCAGCCGCTCCTCAGAAACCTTATACAGGGCTGCTATGAGTTGGAACTGACTCAATGGTATTTAGTAACAAGAATAAAACTGCCTGAATTTTAAACTAGGATCTGTTACATCACTTTCTATGTGTTCTTGAACAAATGCAAATAATAATACCATTTGCTCTGTAAGGCTGTTATTGTCCTTTTGATGTTGAATGACTGACCATTCTATGTGTATGTATCTCACTAGGATACGTCCCCACTAGTATACGTATCTATTGCTTGGCTGAAAATTGAGCCACTGGGGTGTGTTCTATTTGAGACCTGAAGAGTAACTAAGGTCCATAGTTGCGGGGTTCCACAAGTCTCTATCTCACCACTATAATTTTTTTCTTTTCATGATTTTGAATTTTGTTATAGATTTTCTCCTACTCTACCCAGGATCTTCTAATGTGATCTCTTTCAGAGCAGCTGGTAGTGATGGCTGGGCATCATCTAGCTATTCTGGTCTTAGGGTTGTAGAGACTGATGTTCATGTGGTCCAAGCATCTTCAATTTTCATCACACTTCTTTCCTCCAGACAGGAAGAAACCCATAGTTAACCTTTAGAAGGCCATACATGAGCTATTTAGATCCCAGCAGCTACTCAACAAAATAGGATGTAGAACATTGTCTTTACAGTTTATGTTATGAATGACTGGTTTTTTAAAGGGACGCTGCTAGGCCTTTCTTCTGAGGTGCCTCTGGGGGATTCAAATCCTGGTAGCATAGTGGTTACGAATCGGGCTGCCAACCTTAAGG